TCATCTGTTTACTTTGTTGATAGTTTCTTTTACTGTGCAAAAGCTCTTTGGATTAGAAGCCATTTTTAATTTTTATTTTGGTTCCACTCATGTTAGATGTTAGTCATAAATTCTTTCCAGAGGCCAATATTTTCTAAGTATTCTTCTAAGATTTTTGTAGCTTGGAGACTCACAGATCAAGTCTTTAATCTATGTTATTTATTTTTATATATAGAAAAAGGTAGGAGTACAATTTTCCTCCACATATGACTAACCAGTTTTCCCAGTATTATTTACTGAATAGGGAGTTTATTCCCCTTTTGTTTATTTCTGTTGGTTTTGTAAAAATAACCTGGTTGTAAAGTATAGCTTAATTCAGGACTCTCTATTCCATTTCATTGGTCTATGTGTATATTTTTGTACCAGAACCATGTCATACTGGTTACTCTGATGCAATCTTGGCTCACTGCAACCTCCACTACCCAGGTTCAAGTGATTCTCTTGCTTCAGCCTCCCAAGTAGCTGGGATTACAGGCATGCACCACCACACCTGGCTAATTTTTTGTACTTAGTAGAGACGCAGGTTTCACCATGTTGGCCAGGCTGGTCTCAAATTTCTGACCTCAGGTGATCCATCCACCTCAGTCTACCAAAGGGCTGAGATGACAGGCATGAGCCACCACGCTCGGCCCAGATTTATTCTTTTAGTCTGATGCTGTCTTGGCTATTCGATCTCCTTAATTCTTTTGTATATAATTTAGAATAGTTTTCTTTTTCTAATTCTATGAAAAAGCGTCATGGATAGTCTGATAAAAATAGCACTTAATCTGTAGGTTGCTTTAGGCAGAATGACCATTTTAATTATATTCTTTGAACCCATGAACATGCAATATTTTTGCATTTATTTGCAAAAGAAATGCCTCTCATTTCTTTCAGCAATGTTTTGTTGTTCTTTGTAGAGATATTTTACTCCATTGATTTAATGTATTTCCAGAGTTTTTTTGTTTGCTTGTGGCTACTGTAAATAGAGCTGTTTTTTGTTGTTTGAATATTATTGGTGTACAGAAATCCTATGCATTTGTGTTGATTTTGTATTCTCATATTTTTTTGAAGTCTTTTTTCACACTTAGGAGTCTTTTGGTGAAATCTTTAAAGTATTCTAGGTAGAGAATTCTATCATCAGTAAAGATAATTTGACTTCCTTTGTTTTCTGTTTGGATTCCTTTTATTTCTCTGGCTAGGACTCCATAACTTCAATAGGAAAGTTTAGAATTGATATTTTTATTCTTATGAATGCTTCCAGTTCTTGCTCTTTTAGTATGATGATGGCTAAGGATTTGTCATAGATGACTCTTATTGAGATATGTTTCATCAATGTCTAGTGTGCTGACATTTTTGAGTCAATATTGGATTTTCTTGAATGCTTTTTCTGTCCCTATTGTTAAATATTTTTTTTAGTTATCTTTACATGGTGAATCACACTTATTGATTTGCATATGATGAAACATCTTTCTATTTATGGAATAAAGCTCATATGATTGTAGAAAATTAACATTCTGGGCCGGGCGCGGTGGCTCAAGCCTGTAATCCCAGCACTTTGGGAGGCCGAGACGGGCGGATCACGAGGTCAGGAGATCGAGACCATCCTGGCTAACACAGTGAAACCCCGTCTCTACTAAAAAATACAAAAAACTAGCCGGGCGAGGTGGCGGGCGCCTGTAGTCCCAGCTACTCGGGAGGCTGAGGCAGGAGAATGGCGTGAACCTGGGAGACGGAGCTTGCAGTGAGCCGAGATCCGGCCACTGCACTCCAGCCTGGGTGACAGAGCGAGACTCCCGTCTCAAAAAAAAATTTAAAAAAAAAAATGTTCTCCTTAAAACCTGCAACATACCATGTGAAATCAACAATGAGAAAACTGTAGTCATAACAAAGAAAAATCAATGTTATTTGATTTGTGTTATTTTATTTGTGTTATGACTGTAATCATAACGCAGAAGAATCAATGTTATTTCTTTGCAATTGGTATTTTCCATCTCTGACTCGAAGTTACAAACTAACTTTAGCAGGATTATTTATGACTAATTATGGAGCATCTGTTACACACTGAGCACTGTCATGTTTGTTTGCTACATTTATATGTAAAAGCATCTGCATGACTTATGAAGCTTCCCTAGTACTTACTGAAACAAATTGACTCAATGTCACTTATAAAAAGTTAAGGGAACAGTAACTAAAGAAAAGTAAGCTTATACAGGATTTTCCCATTAAAAGAACCTAATGAAATGTTTTAACAAAATAAAACATAACTTAATACACAAATTGTGGAATTATGTCTAAAAATAATTTTGTGTGCATGATGAAATTTTACAAAAAATATTATTTTAACTACACATCAGCTCAGATAATAAACACTTCATAAACTATAAAACAAAAAAAGAAACAAAAAGATTATGGGTCGAGCACCAGTATAATGCAAGCAAAAACAGAAAGTTTGCATGGAAAGATTCTAAATGATAAGCTATAAGATAGTTGTATAAATTGAATACAAAGCAAAGAGTATACATCCGCTTTTAGCATTTTTGAGGATTTTTGTTTCCTAGTAAATTAGACATCTTACTAAAATGATTTATTTTGCTTCAATATTACTCTTTTCTTCTGAAAATACTTACAAATTTATAGTGAAACAAACACACTTACTCATTAAACCTAAGTTATATCTTTAGACTAAGAGACGTGTATATTTAACTCTATGCAGGTCAAAACTAAAACTCTATTATGTGCTCACAGGCAGAGGCCACATGTTCAAAAAATATACAATAAATTTTTGAAAATTATTCAGGACTCAGAAATATATTGATTTTATTTACACTTATTTACAATTTTTATCACCATAAAAATAACAATGTAGTCAATAACAATTTAATTGTACAATTTAGAATAACTAAGACTGTAGAATTAAATTGTTTGTAATGCAAAACATAAAAGCCAGGTTATAGGTACCTTATTTACCATGTGATTATTATATATTTTATGAATGTATCAAAATATGCCATATATGGCATAAATGTATACACATATCATGTACACACAAAAACTAAGAAAAATAAATTTAAATGTCAAAAAAGTTTAACCTGCAGGAACCATACTATTTAACTTATTTTCAGTTTAAAGCCACTGAAAAAGAATACTAGAGATGTTAGTCTATTATGTTAGCAAATAGTGAATTGTTACTATCTTCTAAATATACCCTTAAGTAAGGTGAAATAGGTTAAAATTAGTGGCATAATAACACTTTTTCAATGTATAACAGTATTTAACATGTTATAAATGTTGAATTAAAAAATTAAAGTAACACATAACCTAAAACTTTAAAAAACGTAGTTTCATCACATAAAAGTACAATTAGTAAAATGACAGTAATTTAGTTAATTTTAACTATAATTAAGAATAATTGGCCGGGCGCAGTGGCTCAAGCCTGTAATCCCAGCAATTTGGGAGGCCGAGACGGGTGGATCACGAGGTCAGGAGATCGAGACCATCCTGGCTAACATGGTGAAACCCCGTCTCTACTGAAAAATACAAAAAACTAGCCGGGCGAGGTGGCGGGCAACAAAAAACTAGCCAGGCGAGGTGGCGGGCAACTGTAGTCCCAGCTACTCGGGAGGCTGAGGAAGGAGAATGGCATAAACCCAGGAGGCGGAGCTTGCAGTGAGCTGAGATCCGGCCACTGCACTCCAGCCTGGGCCACAAAGCGAGACTCTGTCTCAAAAAAAAAAAAAGAATAATTTTATCTCATAATACTGCATTACAATATTACTAAGGGCCAGGCGCAGTGGCTCATGCCTATAATCACAGCACTTTGGGAGGCCGAGGTGGACAGATCACTTGATATCAAAAGTTCAATAACAGCCTGGCCAACGTGGTGAAACCTCATTTTACTAAAATACAAAAATTAGCTGGATGTGGTCATAGGCACCTGTAATCTCAGCCTCTTGGGAGGCTGAGGCAGAATAGCTTGAACCTGTGAGGAGGAGCTTATAGTGAGCCGAGATCACTCCACTACACTCCAGCCTAGGCAACAGAATGAGATTCCCTCCCAAAAAAAAAAAAAAAAAATTACTCAGAATACCTACTTCATACATCACTCAATTCCATAAGTTAACCACAAATAGCCTTTCTACTTAGATTTTCATCATGCATCTTACATTTTAATTTCCTTAGTCGTCCATAAGAAGGGTCATAAATAATGACCACCTATTAAAAAAGTCTCCCAAATCTTTGATGCAAAAAGAATTGATCACATTCTTTTACATGTGAATGCAACAGAAATGAAGAAATAGCATGAAGCAATTTACGAGTTGAATTCCATCATTATTCAGTTTCCAAATAAGCTGTCTTTTTATTGGGTGTGAGGGAACAGAGTCTCACTGTCACCTGGGCTGCAGTGCACTGGCAAAAATCTCAGCTTACTGAAACTTCTGGCTCCCAGGTTCAAGTGATTCTCATGCCTCAGCCTCCCACATAGCTGGGACTACAGGTGTACACCACCATGCTTGGCGCATGTGTATTTCTTTTTAGTAGATATGGGATTCCACCATGTTGGCCAGGCTGGTCTTGAACTCCTGACCTCAGGTGATCTGCCCACCTTGGCATCACAAAGTGTTGACCTTATGGGTATAAGCCACTGTGTCTGGCCAAAAAAAATCTGTATTTTTAAGATATAAGTATACTTGAAATTTAATTATAACTTCTCAAAATCTACTTCTTTTAAAGTTATAAACAAATAATTTTTCTTTTTACCAACTTTAGTTTTGGATTTATTCCTATATTCAGCAGTCTGATTTAGTGTAATGTCTGAAATTTGAGACAGATATTTCTACTGTGAATTCTCTCATATTGACATAAACTTACTTTTGGATTAAATATTTTTTACTTTTATATATCTGCAAAAATACATTTTAATATGAACTCTTTTGTGTTTTATAATCAGTAGTTTTTGAAAAAATGTTTTTCCAAACTTATTAAACTTGGAGGGTTATTCTTCAATATAAATTCCCTGATGTTGAGCGAAGTTGGAAAAACTACCTCAGGTATTCCTGTAGTACAAAATGTGTACAATAAAATCTGTGATACAAGTAAATATACTACAACCCTCTTTATATTTGTAATGTGTTTCCTCAAAATTAATATTCTTCTGTACTTTAAGGGCTTTTATTTTCTGAAAGATCTAGTGAGAGTAATTGCACTCTTAATGCTTTTATTTAGTATGAACGCTCTGATGTTTAGTAAGATGTGGGAAGATATTAGTGGCATTCACAATTTTTTTTTTTCCAGACAGAGTCTCTCTCTGTTGCCCAGGCTAGTATAAATGCTTTCCTTTGCAATAAGTCATGAGCATTGGTTAAATGTTTTGCCACATGGTTTATTCTAGTAGTTTTCTCCAGTCTGAGTTATCTACAATCAAGTGTGATAGCTGTTTAAAGGCTTGCCACATTCTTCACATTTGTAGGGTTTCCCTCCTGTATAAATTCCCTTATGTTCAGTAAGAGTTGAGAACTAGTTAAAACGTTTGCCACATTTTTCACATTTGTAGGGTTTTTCCTCCAGTATGAATTCTTTTATGAGCAGTAAGGTGTGAGGACCAGTTGAAGTCTTTATCACATTCTTCACATTTGTAGGGTTTCTCTCTAGTATGAATTATCTTATGCTCCATAAGGCTTGAGGACTGGTTGAAGCCTTTGCCACAGTCTTCACATTTCTAGTGTTTCTCTCCAGTATGAATTTTCTTATATGTAGTAAGGGTTGAGGACTGTTTAAAAGCCTTGTCACATTCTTCACGTTTGTAAAATTTCCCTCCAGCATGAATTTTCTTATGTTTACTAAAGACTGAGAACCGGCTGAAGGCTTTGCCACATTCTTCACATTTGTAGGGTTTCTCTCCAGTATGAATTACCTTATGTTTAGTAAGGATTGAGAACCTACTAAAGCCTTTGCCACATTCTTTACATTTGTAGGGTTTCTCTCCAGTATGAATTCTCTTATGTTTAGTAAGGATTGAGAAAGTACTAAAGCCTTTGCCACATTCTTCACACTTGTGGGGTTTCTCTCCAGTATGAATTTTTTTATGATAACTAAGGGTTGAGGACCACTTATAGGCTTTGCCACATTCTTCACATTTGTAGAGTTTCTCTCCAGTATGAATTACCTTATGTTTAGTAAGGATTGAGAACCTACTAAAGCTTTTGCCACATTCTTCACATTTGTAGGGTTTCTCTTCAGTATGAATTTTCTCATGCGTCATAAGGGTTGAGGACTGTTTAAAAGTTTTGCCACATTCTTCACATTTGCAGAATTTCTCTCCAGCATGAGTTTCTTTATGTTTACTAAAGACTGAGAGCCAGCTGAAGGCTTTGCCACATTCTTCACATTTGTAGGGTTTCTCTCCAGTATGAATTACCTTATGTTTAGTAAGGACTGAGAACGTACTAAAGCCTTTGCCACATTCTTCACATTTATAGGGTTTCTCTCTAGTATGAATTTTCTTATGATAACTAAGGGTTGAGCGCCACTTATAGGCTTTGCCACAATCTTCACATTTGTAGAGTTTCTCTCCAGTATGAATTACCTTATGTTTAGTAAGGACTGAGAACGTACTAAAGCCTTTGCCACATTCTTCACATTTATAGGGTTTCTCTCCAGTATGAATTTTCTTATGATAACTAAGGTTTGAGAACCACTTAAAGGTTTTGCCACATTCTTCACATTTGTAGGGTTTCTCTCCAGCATGAATTCTTTGGTGTTTAGTAAGGCTAGAGGACCAGCCAAAGGCTTTGCCACATTCTTCACATTTGTAGGGTTTATCTCCAGTATGAATTACCTTATGTTTAGTAAGGACTGAGAACTTACTAAAGGCTTTGCCACATTCTTTACATTTGTAGGGTTTCTGTCCAGCATGAATTCTCTGGTGGTTAGCAAGGCTTGAGGACCAGCCGAAGGCTTTGCCACATTCTTCACATTTGTAGGGTTTCTCTCCAGTATGAATTACCTTATGCTTAGTAAGGACTGAGACCTTACTAAAGGTTTTGCCACATTCTTCACATTTGTAGGGTTTCTCTCCAGTATGAATTTTCTTATGTTTGGTAAGGATTGAGGACCACTTAAAGGCTTTGCCACATTCTTCACATTTGTAGAGTTTCTCTCCAGTATGAATTACCTTATGTTTAGTAAGGACTGAGAACGTACTAAAGCCTTTGCCACATTCTTCACATTTGTAGGGTTTCTGTCCAGTATGAATTTTCTTATGATAACTAAGGGTTGAGCGCCACTTATAGGCTTTGCCACATTCTTCACATTTGTAGCGTTTCTCTCCAGTATGAATTACCTTATGTTTAGTAAGGACTGAGAACGTACTAAAGCCTTTGCCACATTCTTCACATTTGTAGGGTTTCTCTCCAGTATGAATTTTCTTATGATAACTAAGGTTTGAGTACCACTTAAAGGCTTTGCCACATTCTTCACATTTGTAGGGTTTCTCTCCAGCATGAATTCTCTTGTGTTTAGTAAGGCTTGAGGACCAGCTGAAGGCTTTGCCATGTTCTTCACATTTGTAGGGTTTCTCTCCAGTATGAATTACCTTATGTTTAGTAAGGACTGAGAAATTACTAAAGGCTTTGCCACATTCTTTACATTTGTAGAGTTTCTTTCCAGTATGAATTCTCTTATGATAAGTAAGGGTTGAGGACCGGTTAAAGGCTTTGCCATCTTCTTCACATTTGTAGGAATTCTCTTTACTGTAAATTCTTTTATGGTGAGATAGGTGTGAACGCATGCAAAATGATCTGACATATTCTTTACATTTCAAAAGTTTATTTCCAGTATGCCTTACCTTACGTCTGCTTGAATTTGAACATTTATGAAAGACATTTGCATATTTGCCACATTGAAATACTTTGCTCTGTGTAGTTGTCAAACTATGGTTAAGCTGATTATAACCTTCTTTGTGCACCTTACACTCATCCACATTGGTACAACCAATTTTTAACTGTAAATTCTCAGGTCCACATTTTTCATATCTTCTCAATGTAACTTTTTGGAAAGAATCTTCTATGCCCTGCTCTGGCCAAAGGTCTTGAGCAAAATGAGAACATATAACTGAAAAGAAATAAAAATAACAAATTAGTCCACTTATTAGACTCAGGTAAATATAGTTTCCAAATTTAACCTACAAAATTATTCAAACTACATAAGCAAGATGACATTGCAATATGACACAGGCCCTAAGTCTTCATAGACATAGAAATGTAATAAAAACACACAGACCAAAATACACATGTGGATAATTTATACATGAGTTAAGTGCATGCAGTGCCTGAATTAAGACCAATGCAAAGAGCCACATAGAAAAAAAGAAAAGTTTGTTAAATTTACCCAATACAACTCTTTCTACTCCTCAATATTACCTAGTCCCTTCAGAAGCAAATTGTCAACTTCTGTATGTTCTTTTTTTTTTTTTTTTTAAGGAAAGTAAAATATTGGCACATATGATTTAATTTTTGTCTTCTACAACCCTTTCCACACACTGGTTTCTGTCTCTCACGACAAAAAGGGCTGATAGATACAGTGGTATACTTTGAAATGACAGTTTGAGTCTGCTGAGACCAAAGGTAAATACACTGCAGCAGAGCACTGCAGTGCTGCAGAGAGAGAACGGTGTACCAAGTGATTACTTTTCAGAAGAAACAAAAATAATCTCTTTTAACTAAAACCAAACACAAAATTTCAGACAAGACAAATCTCAAGGAGATGTTTGAGAGACCCACATAATCTCTAGCCAAGATGACTGTTTTCTGACTATGCCAGGACAAAGCTACATTATAAATTATGTGACAGGTAGCCTTTTTAAATGTCCAAATCTCAGAGATTACAATCTATACAAAATAGGGTAATATAATCTCATCAAAAATATTATAAAATTTTCAGAAAGAAACCATTAAAAATGTATACACTAATTTTAAAAACTGAATAACATTCAATGAGTGAAATAGGAACACAGAAGAGTATAGAAAATCAGAAAAATGAGGATAAGAACAAAAATAACCAGTGAATTGTCAACAAAAGATTTGCAGGCCAGAAGAGAACTGTGTGATATAGTCAAAGTCCAAAAAAGAAAAAGAAAAAAAATACCTATCAAGTGAGAATAATGCCATCAGCAAATCGGTACTGCCTAATAGGAAAAAACAAACAACAACAACAAAAACTTTCAAAATAACTAAATTCTTAAGAAGTATCTTGGCACTGCATATGTCTTCCATACGAAAGATGCTGAAAGCAGTTCTTACCAGTGAAAATAACAATGTAAGAAAACAACACCTAATCATATAAAAATACATTATTTTCTAGGAAAGATATGCACATACAAAAAACTGAATTTCTAGCATTATTCTAATGGTGCAGAAAACATTTTTAATTATTCTCTAATATTTGATAAAAGCATAGGAATTATTATAAACATCTGTAAATGTATATACAACATAAACACATAAACTTAGCAACATCAGTGACAAATTTAAGGTCAGACATAATAAGGAAGAATTTTTTATGCAACTGAAGCTAATTTTTCACCTGATTAAAATATACTGTTTTAGTTTTAGAGGTTTTATGTAATCCCAACGGTATCATACACAAAAAAAAAATTTAGAGGTTTTATGTAATCCCAACGGTATCATATACAAAAGAAAAATAAGAAAGTGAAAGTATATCAATGCAAAAATCAGAAAGAAACAAAGGAAGACAGAAAGAGAGAAAATGAGGGACAAGATGCAAGAATCAAATAGAATAGGTAATAAAATAAAAGTAACTCCTTCACTTTCAGAAAATTATTTAAATATATGGAAAATTAACTTTCAAATCAACAGATTTTTAATAGATTTATTAACATTTTTTCTTTTGAGACAAAGTTTTACTCTTGTCGCCCAGGCTGGAGTGCAATGACACTATCTCAGCTCACTATAACCTCTGCCTCTGAGGTTCAAGCAATTCTCCTGCCTCAGACTCCTGAGTAGCTGGGATAACAAAAGTCCACCAACACGCCCAGCTAATTTTTGTATTCTTAGTAGAGACGGGGTTCCACAGTGTTGACCAGGCTGGTCTGGAACCCCTGGCCTCAGGTGATCCACCCGCCTTGGCCTCCCAAAGTGCTAGGATTACAGGCATAAGCCACCATGCCCAGGCTATTAAAAACTTTTAAATACCAAGATCCAACTTGCCTTTCGACAAGAGTCAGTTGAAATCTAATGTTAAAAAGACTCAAAGTGGAAGGTGGAAGTAGACATTTCATGCAAATGTTAATCAAGTGAGAGCAGAAGAGGTCAATATAATATTACATGAGCTAAATTTTAAGTCAAAGACTCATATTTCATAAAATGCACTTGACAGTGAAACTCCAAAAAGACAAAGAAAGATATTAACAATAGTAGGTTCACTGGGAACCTGTGAAAACTTTGAATATGTGTGTGTGTGTGAGTGTGTGTGTGTGTCATACATTAGGATTACAAATACATAAAGCAAATACTGACAGAATAGAAGAAACACAAGGAAAGCAATATAATTATAGCAGGATATTATTATACCACACTTTCTGTAATAAAAATCAAAATAGAGGAGGCTAGCAAGATGGCCGAATAGGAACAGCTCTGGTCTGCAGCTCCCAGCGCGATCGACACAGAAGGTGCGTGATTTCTGCATTTCCAACTGAGGTACCCGGTTCATCTCATTCGGACTGGTTGAACAGTGGGTGCAGCTCACTGAGTACGAGCCAAAGCAGGGTGGCATGTCGCCTCACCTGGGAAGTGCAAGGGGTCGGGGAACTCCCTCTCCTAGCCAAGGGAAGGGTTTAGGGACTGTATCATGAAGCACAGTGCTCTCCAACCCAGATACTATGCTTTTCCCATGGTCTTCGTAACCTGCAGACCAGGAGATTCCCTCTGTTGCCTATGACACCAGGGCCCTGGGTTTCAAGCACAAAACTGGGTGGCCATTTGGGCAGACACCAAAGTACCTGTAGGAGATTTTTTTTTCCCATGCCCCAGTAGCACCCAGAAGGCCAGTGAGGCAGAACTGTTCACTCCCCTGGAAAGAAGGCTGAAGCCAGGGAGCCAAGAGGTCAGGCTCGGCGGATCCCACACCCATGGAGCCCAGCAAGCTATGACCCACTGGTTTGAAATTCTGGCTGCAAGCACAGCAGTCTAAGCTACTCCTGGGAAACTCGAGCTTGGTTGGGGAAGGGCATCCGTCATTGCTGAGGCTTCAGTAGGCAGTTTTACCCTCATAGTGTTTACAAAGCTGCCTGGAAGATTGAACTGGGTGGAGCGCACCGCAGCTCAGCAAGACCAGACTGTATCTCAAGATTCCTCCTCTTTGCGCAGAGCATCTCTGAAAAAAGAGGCAGCAACCACAGTCAGGGGCATATAGATAAAACACCCATCTCCTTGGGACAGCACCTGGGGGAAGGGACAGCTGTGAGAGTAGCTTCAGCAGACTTAAACATCCCTGCTGGACAACTCTGAAGAGAGGAGTGGATCTACCAGCACAGCATTCGAGCTCTGCTAAGGGTCAGACTGCCACCTCAAGTGGGTCCCTGACACCCGTGTCTCCTGATTGAGAGACACCTCCCAGTAGAAGCTGATAGGCACCTCATCAAGAGAGCTCTGGCTGGCATGTGGTGGGTGGCCTCTGGGACGAAGCTTCCAGAGGAAGGAACAGGCAGCAATCTTTGCAGTTCTATCGCCTCCACTGGTGATAACCAGGCAAACAGGGTCTGGAGTGGACCTCCAGCAAGCTCCAGCAGATCTGCAGCAGAGGCACCTGACTGTTAAAAGGAAAACTAACAAACAGAAAGGAATAGAAGCAACATCTACAAAAAAGATGTTTACTCAGAGACCCCATTCGAAGGTCATCAACATCAAAAACCAAAAGTAGATAAATCCATAAATGGGGAGAAGTCAGTGCAAAAAGGCTGAAAATTCCAAAAACCAGAATGCCTGTTCTCCTCCAAAGGATCACAACTCATCACCAGCAAAGAAACAAAACTGAATGGAGAATAAGTCTGATGAATTGACAAACTCAAATTTGACAAATTTCAGAGGTGGGTAATAATGAACTCCTCCAAGCTAAAGGAACATGTTCTAACCCAATGCCAAGAAGCTAAGAACCTTGAAAAAAGGTCAGAGGTATTGCTAACAAGAATAACCAGTTTAGAGAAGACCATAAATGCCTGATGGAGATGAAAAACACAGCACAAGAACTTCATGAAGCATGCGCAAATATCAATAGCTGAATCAATAAAGTGGAAGAAAACATATCAGAGATTGAAGATCAATTTAATGAAATAAAGCAAGAAGATAAGATTAGAGAAAAAAAGAATAAAAAGAAATGAACAAAGCCTCCAAGAAATATGGGACTATGTGAAAAGACCAAATCTACATTTGATTGGGGTACCTGAAAGTGACAGGGTGAATGGAACCACTCTTCAGGATATCATCCATGAGAATGTCCCCGACCTAGCAAGACAGGCCAACATTCAAATTCAGAAAATACAGAGAACACCACAAAGATAAGAGAAGAGCAACCCCAAGACATAGATTCGTCAGATTCACCAAGGTTGAAATGAAGAAAAAACCGTTGAGGGTAGCCAGAAAGAAAAGCCGGGTTACCCACAAAAGGAAGCCCATTAGACTAACAGTGGATCTCTCTGCAGAAACCCTACAGGCCAGAAGAGACTGGGGGGCCAATATTCAACATTCTTAAAGAAAAGAATTTTCAACCCAGAATTTCATATCTAGCCAAACTAAGCTTCATAAGTAAAGGAGAAATAAAATCCTTTACAGACAAGCAAATGCTGAGAGATTTTGTCACTACCAGGACTGCCTTACAAGAGCTCCTGAAGGAAGCACTGAAAATAACTGGTACCAGCAACTGCAAAAACATACAAAATTGTAAAGACCATTGACACTATGAAGAAACTGCCTCAACTAACGGGCAAAATAACCAGCTAGCAACATAATGACAGGACCAAATTCACACATAACAATATTAACCTTAAATGTAAATGGGCTAAATGCCCCAATTAAAAGACACAGACTGGCAAATTGAGT